CGCACACTCTGACATCAAGCAAAGTAGATAACAGCTCAGACTCTGACGTCAAGCAAAGTAGATAACGGCGCACATTCTGATGTCAAGCAAAGTAGATAACAAAGTAGATTACGGCACACACTCTGACCTTATAGAGTTTTGCAAAAGCTCCATTTTCAATGACCTAAAGTGCTGTTTACATGTGAACAAAAGGCCACAACTCAGAGAAAAAGCTGTGTTTTAAAAAAATACCCGTGTTCGTGTGGCGAAGGCCTGAGTGACAAGGGCCCTAAAAAACTTGGACCACAATTGGATTGGTCTGGGTTGGGGGCCCAATATGATATTCTTTCATTGGGTTCAAAATCTATAACAGCCCCCCTACACATCACTATACAGTACTTGTACATAAAAACTAAGGACTTATTGTTGACCCTGAACTAGATTAAAATGATTAGAAGATGGATAGATAAGTAAATCAACTCCGTACTTTAAAATATAATTTAAAAAATATGACAATTAAATTTGTAAAAAAAACATGTGAATGATTAAATGATTTTCATAATGTTGTAAGTAGGTAAAATAGAGAGAGAGAAAGAGAGAGAGTGAGTACCTTATTAATCCCGTAGAGCAGTGTTTTCCAATCTGGGCCTCGGGGACCCACAGTCGGCCCATGTTTTTGCTCCTTCCCAGCTCCCTGGCAGGCAGTCCACATTTTTGCTCCATGATCTGGGAGGGAGGGATTAGAGGGATTATTCTCTGTTCATTTGCACTGTATTTCTCTCCAGTCCACAGGTGCCCAAGTGCAGGTGGCAGGGGACATGCTTCCGAATTCCACAGAACGTGCCGTGACAATCTCGGGGACCCCAGATGCCATCATCCAATGTGTCAAACAGATATGTGTGGTCATGCTGGAGGTAGTGTACAGCATGAGGCATGCTGGGATTGCACCACACATTCTGCATGAATTCGGGCAAAGCATAGCCTGTTATGGAGTTCATGAAACTGAACAGTGCTGGTCAATCCGTTAGGTGACATAGGCGACTGCCTAGGTCTGAGGGGCTGCCTCAGGCTCACAGGATGTTTTTTTTATGTGTATTTGCGTTAATAATCTGTGGAGTATTGACTCTGTTTTACTAACTGGAATTTGCGCAACAATGTTGTAATAGTTATATGTCCCTTTGAGAGAAATAATTTTTCACTTTCTGCCTAGTCTTTTATAGTAATCCATTTGCATGTTAGCTTATTGACTGCTGAGAAATAAATATTCAACATGTCTTTTTTCATATTTGTAAAAGGGAATTGTTTCAGGTAAAAGTGAATAGTTTGGATGCTGACAATCTATATCAAAGTCTTGTGGAAAAGTGTTTTTGTAATGTGCTTCTCATTGTTTCACCATATTCTCCTCAAGCAAGAACAGTTAACATGTTTCAGAAATGTTTATATCACATTCCCGCTCTCACCTGTCCTACCCTTCCCTCTGTTTCTCTCACTGACTCTTTCTCTCTCTTTCTCTTCTAACTCTCTCTCTCTCTCCCTGTCCCTCTTCCCCTCTCCTAGTCCCCACCAAAAGGTGCCACCATCCCCTACCGCCCCAAGCCCGCCTCCACCCCCGTCATTTTTTCAGGTGGCCAGGTAAGAGCCGACCCCCTGGCAGCGTCTGCAGCCAACCTCAGCCTTTTACTGCAGCACCAGCCACTGCCTGTTAGTGCCCTCAGGTTTTCTCACCGTCTCACTTGCATGCCACTGGGCCCAGCTAGCTGGGGAGATGCTCATGTAGGGAGAGCAGTGCTTCTCCAGCGCGGGTGTCAGACTCCAGTCCTGGGGGGCCGGAGCCCTGCACATTTTTGGGTTTCCCATCATTTAACACACCTGATTCAACTCCTTGTGCTAATTACCACACAGCTCTTGAGCTGAATCATTTGTTGTGGAACAGGGAAAGAACTAAGCTACACAGGACTCCGGCCCCCCAGGACTGGAGTTCGACACCCCTGTTCTCCAGGAAACAATAGCATATACGTGTTATATTGGTTGTATCTTCACTACCATAACTAAAAATAAATGGTGACTGTAACCTTGCTACAGTAGTAACATATTAACATGAAATTGATTTATTAATTAACATTAATTAGTTAATTAAAATTTTATTAGAAGACATTTAACATTGAATTATTACATGAAAAATATTATATATGAGCAGATATATTAAAAGGATATTTTAAAAGTTAGTATGTTTATCAGCATGATTAGAATGCCATTTTCCCCAGCAATGGCAACATAATGAATGAATAATTAAAATGTTCCTAAGCCAATCTCAGGCTTTTCATACATTTTTGGTATTTAGCATCTGACATAGTGTGAAATTGCAAAGATCAAAAAATTTTGAAATTGCATTTTAACTTTGTTAATTTGTCAGTTTGACATCCGTTTAAGCACAGAGCAAATGTAAATATGTACAAATGTACTGAGTATGATTAATAAAACTATAAAATAAGTTTTGTTTTGCTGGGTAATTTGGAATAAACAGTTTGTCATTTTACAGATTTCCCATTTGTGGCATGAAATCTCTTTTTTGTAAATTCATGATTTCCTTCTTCTTTTAACATGATGTGTGTTTAATCCTTTTAAGATGTTCAAATTAGAATATATTAATTATAAACTGTGGAGTGAATTGAACTAGCGCTGATCATAATTTTAAAGTACCTTTTGTCTTTCCTTTCCACAGGCCTACACAATTCAGGGACAGTATGCCATTCCGCACCCAGATGTGAGTGACCAGGGGCTGTTTGCCCTGTTTTTTGTGTTCAGTGCTCGCATGCCTATACCAGCAACTCTACTCATATTAATATTAACTAGTAATAACAATATTAATACCACATGTCCAATATGTCCCCTCAAGCCTGTACTGAAATTAGCAGGTTGAAGATGAATGGATAGATTTCTGATACATATTGTGGTACATATACAGGTTGTGAAATACATATTTCACAAAGAAGTTATGTCTTACATTAGTGTTTCCCAACCCAGTCCTCAGGGACAACAGACAGACCATGTTTTACTGGGAGCTGACAGGGAGCAAAAATGTGGACTGTCTGGTGGTCGGCAAGGACCGGGTTGGGAAATACTGCATTATATAAACATCAAAGGCCAATGAAAAAATTACTATTTCAAGCTGGTTGAGTACTTTAAGATGTAGATTGTAGAATATGAAATAATTTTAAATTATTATTTTGATGTGGGAAAATATGAGTATTTGATGCAACATGACCATGTCTTTGGCTGCTGGGATTAACACCTCCTCAGTACAAATCCAAAGCCCAATAATCAGCTATTTAAAGTAATTTGAATGTAGTAGATAGAAAATCGGGAATGGTGGAATTCTCTTTTTTTTGGGTAATGCAGCCATTTATATCTGGTGGTAACAATGGATGACTTCATATCACTAAAATGACACTTATGTCAACTCTACCTCATTATAACCATTTCCCAGTGACTGAAGCGCTGTTTCGGTAACATCCTTATTGCTGGCCGATGAGGCTGAGATGGTTAAAGGAATTTACTAATTTACAATATTTTACGAGAAGAGTGCAGGTGGAAACTATTCAAACAGGCGACAAACGTAAGAGGAAGAAGAGGCATATGTTCCTTAATTATCCACCAAAGATATCAAAAGCGTGCACTAAATGTCACAATGTGCTATATTTGAGCAATATATCCAACATAATCACAACAGACTATTGTTATTAGCATGTACACAATATAGAGAGTCAGAATACAGCCCAAAATATACAAAAGTTTACAAATCACAAGGGTAACCTATTTAAACATTTTGGCTCTGAAGGTGTTCATTTCCAGTTCAGCAATGGGGAAAATGGCGGCACACCACAGATCCGGACAATGTCAGGCCGAGTCCAGCTCAAGTTCCCCCTCTCTCTCTTTCTCTCTCCTTTTCTCCTTTTCCACCACAATGTGTCATGGCTCCTCCTTGTTGTTTCTTTATTCTAGTTCAGTTCTTGATTTCTTGCTTTCACCTGTGTTTTAACAATAACCTCTTAGTTGTACTGTCCCTCCCATCCCCTTCAGCAGTTGACCAAGCTCCACCAGTTGGCTATGCAGCAAACCCCTTTTACTCCCCTCGGACAGACCACCCCCGCTTTCCCTGGTACGTACCCACAAGCCCTTTTCAGATTTCCTTCTCTTTGTACCTCTAGAAACTCTCTTTCTTTCTCTTTCTCTCTCTCTTCCACTTCGTGGTGCACTTTCACACCATGCCCCCTAGTGGTTGCTCTCCATGCTGACATAACATTTCCTTTTCCTTTGTCTTGTTTGTATTTTGTTCTTTTTTTATTAATTTTGTTCCATGTCATGCTTCATCAATGCAGTGACTGGAAGTGCAGGACAGTTTATGGTGTGAATGGACACTGAAACTCCGCGACTCACTGCCAGGCTTTTGACAGAATACCTTCTCTTGCAGGGAACCGTATTATACGCTGGACTAGAACAGCGCCATGCACTGCTTCTCCCTGAAAGCAAACGTCTAATTTGCATTTTGTGTGATATGCTCTGGTTCAAACTATTTTATTTATATACAAAACTACCAACAGTCAAGCGTTATGATGATACATTTTAAGAACCCTTTCAAAATACCCCCCAAGGCACCAAGAATAGAAACGACGCAATATTATGTTATTGGCCAACTGTGGTAACATCTAACTGCAGATTAAAAATACTACTCAGAAAATCTGGGATGCACTTATAAGTTCAAAATTCTTAACGGTCAAAGACGCATGACTCATATTTAAGCAATACGTGTTCATTTTATATTGCAAAAAAGTATGTAAAACTATAAAATAAGTTTCCTTTTACTGTACGTGTGAATGTATGGATTTTTCCATGAATTTTTTTTTTTATAAATGCTGACGTTCTGTTCTCCACAGCAGCATGCGGCTTGGCAAGGCCTGATTGTGAACGAGCCGGAGGGGCTTGGCTGGTGTGTCTCATGACTACAACGTCCCGGTTCGGTGTTAAATGCTATTTATGCTGCCCTCTCTCTCCACCCTGCTCCCTGACCCAGGTTTGGATGCCAGTCCCCCGGCCAGTACTCATGAGCTCACCATTCCCAATGATGTGAGTACATGGGACAGCGAAAGATTTTATTGTACCATGGACACCATTTTGTGACCCGTACTGAAATTGCTACAAATAAACCAGGTCCATGTGATAGTAAATAATCAACGTTGTACACATTCTAAAATGTATGCATTTAAAATGTTTCTTTTGATTTTGTGTGAATAAATATTTTATTTAGCGTGGTGTGGTAGCCGTGGGTAGCACTGTAACTGTACACCTCCAGGGTTGTGGGTTTGTAACGCCCCCACCAGCTGCATGTGTGAGGAATTTGCATGTCCTGCTCGTATTTGCGCTGGTCCCTCCATGTGCAGCTGTGACACGCAGCAGCCCACAAACGTGAGGCTAGATGAATCGGCATGTCGAGCATAGCGTGCGATTGTGTAAATGAATATATTTCCTGAGATGTCGTCCCATCTTTATGGGACAGGCTTCGGGCGCACCACTATTGAATAAGTTGATGGATGGAATATTATTTTCATGAGTAACTATCATTATTTTGACATCAAAAAATGCATTCCATCGAAAATGAAAAATGAGACTTTTCCTCATGGTTCTAAAATTATAGAATGACACTGTATTGTATTTCTGCTCTCCATAAATACTTTGTAATACATACCGTGGAGTGTAAACAGAAGTGTATACTGTGGACCTGTGAATGTGGTGTGTGTTATACAATTTGTAAAAAAGGCAATGGACTATTTTAATTTGTAAATGCATACTGTAGTTTTATTAATAATGGATGCTTGTATGTGTGTATGCACAGCATGCATTTCCTTAGTTATGCCTAAGTTCCACCTCTTAGTGTCAAAGTTTGTTCTGGGTTGGGCTTTCAGGTTGAGCTTTACTTCAAGAAGTTGTGTGATTTCTTCCCAGCTAATAGGCTGCATAATTGGGCGCCAGGGAACCAAAATCAACGAGATCCGGCAGATGTCTGGAGCACAGATCAAAATAGCTAATGCCATGGAAGGGTCATCCGAGCGCCAGATCACCATCACAGGAACCCCCGCCAACATCAGCCTTGCCCAATACCTCATCAACGCAAGGTAATGCTGTTTGCCGGTAGCACTTTATACAGAAACATTGCTTGCACTACATTCTTGCACTTTTTGTATACTCACACATGCACTTTGCATATATCAGCTGGACTGTATGTGACCATTGTCCGGGGACCGCATTCTTAGCCAGTAGAAGTGATTCTGGTTCTGAAATTCAGCTTACATGTCTTTACTGGTTTCTTTATTGAATATTGATATAATGGCCTGTCCATTCTTAAGAAGTTTAAGAAGAACAATGAAGAACTTAAAATAAATAACAATTCAAAAAAACTACAATGATGCCTTTAAAAAATGCTTATGGATCATTATGGGATCCTTATGTAACTAAATTTAGTTTTTGTGTACAAAATCCCCAACTTTGATATAGGGAATGACCAGAATGCAATACAAGGATAAGGTGGAGAAAAAAGCTATTTGGCTACTCACCTGCATTGCACAAAATTGATTAATTCCAATTAATTTTACTCTCCTAATGTTATCCTCCCATGCTGTGTAGTTTCACTCAGAGGTGTCACTGCTGTACTTCAGAGCAACAGCAGCTCAAGCACTCTAATACCCCTTTTTATTGGGTTTTGCATGTTCTTTTGCCTAAATCCTCATTTAATTTCAGATAGCAGTGTATTTTACTGAAGCTCTTCAGTTTAACTTCATTGCTCAAAAATGTAAGAGATAAGCGTGTACAAATAAGCACCACTCTATTGACACTACCCAACGGCCAATATAATCATGAGGTGGAACAGCTAAGAAATAATCAAATCCGTCAGTCTGGACATGTTTTTAATTTTGCCTAAGTGCATGAGGAAGCATCTTTAAATAATTTTATATTCAAGTTGATAGCTTAAAAACAGTGACTCAGGGAAGAGAAAAAAAAAAACTAATGGATGTTGCTTTCCCATGGTTCCACTGGCAGGTTCAGAGACGTGGCAGCCATGTGGAATGACCCCTCATCCATGTCTACATCCTGAAGCTCTAAAACAGCCCCAATACCCGATGCTTACAGCCGCCATCTCCCTATTAAACTGATGTGTACCCCTTAGATTAAACTAGGCCTGACTTATTATCTGATTGTCAACCTCCAGCAGTTCCTCACCATGTATGAGGAGGCAACTGCTGATAAGGACAAAAAATGGTGTAGTTTGTTTTTGTTCTTATAGTGTTTGGGTACAGTTCTCCAGCATGCCAGATATTTAGGATTCAGCTGTGTTATTCTCTCTTAGGTTTGCTTGTATTGCTCAGCAGGACTGCAGTTTTCATGTCAGGGAAACCAACAAAAATGTGATGTGAAAAAAATGTACATGTGACTGCTACCAAGCAATGCTGTTGGCTGAGGAACTGGAGTGATGTGATGCAATTTTTCAGGTCCTGATAAAAAAACAAAATGGAAATGGGCAATGAGAAGATCCTATTGAGAATTTATAAAGAAATATTGTTTACTTAGTTTATAATTCAAATATAATGTAAACTTTGTATCAATTTGGCCAAGGGTTTGGGGATTGGGATTTTTAGTTTTCCTCTTTAACACTGTAGGCTTGAATGCATACCTAAAATGTAGCTCTTCAGCAAGAAATTACGATGGTTGTAAACTACGGATTTCACTTTTGTTGTATACGTCTCAAATGCTCTCATGATTGTTTTCTATATCTCTTCTTTACCCTCTTACCCTGACCCTCTTCTCCAAACTGTTCTAGGCTGACATCTGAGATCACTGGAATGGGCACACTCTAATTTCTACCAATCATCCTTCACTGCATCACATGACCCTCTTGAGCTAATGGCATTGCACCTAGTTTTCTTTCTACCGTTTTCACTGTCCTGCATTTTAAGTGATTAACTTATTTAAAAAATGTATAGATATTTATATATACCATTCTAATTTCCCACTGACCATACTGCTCCTGCATTATCCTATGTTGATTTGTTGCTCCAGACCTGCTCCCGTGTTGTTTTAAAAGGACACTGTACTGTTTTGGCACTCTAGTGCAGTCACCTTCCATTCTGAATAACATGAAGTTCACTGTGATTCTTTTTTTGGTTTATATATATATATATACTTTTTTTGTTCTGTATTTTGTGCCCTACAGGCACATCAAAGCCTTTTTAAGTCAGTGGACAAAGATAGAACTGCATGATTGTGAATCTGATGTTTTATAAAGTAATGTTTAATTGTTGTTCATAGTTGTAAAGCATAGACCATACCTGATTCATCCAGGAACTTCAGGCCAGTGCATTTCACACAGGGTAGTTTATAAAGATGGATAGGGTACAAGTTTCCTTTTAGTAGGACCAGCATACAAAATGATAAATATAATACATTATGCATTCTGTATTTTTGTTTATTTTAAACAATGTTTGAGGTATGTGAACATTCTAGCATACTAGCAATTGTGTAAACAGTATAGTTGCAATATTTGAACTATAAGAGAAGAATATTTCATATTTGATAACTTATGATGTAATCAAATAAATTATTAATTTAAGATGTGCATCTAGGTGTTTTGAAGAATTTTACTAAAATCATTTTATCATTATTGAAAAATATTACTTTTTCCTCTTAAAATGTATACCAGTATTGTAATGCTCAAATCAGTCCATTTGTACTCTTATTCATGCCACCTGTTATATGCTTTCTGCACATCACATTTGATTTTTATTTTCTTTCCCTCACTCTGAAAAACATAAAAAATTCTGAAATATCTGTTATTCTTGCCTTGGCGTTCTGCTCTTTGCATTACACAAAGGCTTGAAAATTATTTTCTTCATTCATGCACACATTAGAAATTCAATATAGCCTACTGATCATTGTTGCAAATTGACAACGGTACTACAATCCATAACTTCTCAAACTCAATGTGACATGTTAGAAATGAGCACTACGCCCTCAGTATTAGAACTGATCCAATCCTTTCAGAGCTATGGAATGTTAAAGGGTTCCATCCAAACCCCAACGTGGCAACAGTGCCACCTGCGTAGCGTGATTGTGTCTTGGTTTTGTTTCATGATCATCATGTGCATTTTAATATCTGTGGATATGTTTTTTAGATGTTGATAGATTTATTGCAAGTCACAATGTGGTTAAAATTGTTGGGATGTTTATGTAATCGAAATAAAGCAATGTTAGTTTACCTGACTTCAGCTACACTCCTATTAATAGCTTGTGGCTATTTGATGTTGGGCTTGAATTTAAATATAAGGTTTAGATTTTTGCACACAGATTCACGGAATGTACCACTGGTTTACCATCAGTTACTATATGAAATGATACTGATCGTTATTTAAAACCACTTACTTCCCCTAATTTCTTGTGGACAGCATTAGAAATAAGTACTACTGGGTCATGAATGAGTGCTCAATTGCAAATCTCCAGAAGACTCGAAACTTACCTGTAGAGTGCGATGACGCAAATAACATTCACCTTTACCTTTCTTTATCCAGTCTGGCATTATTTTTTATCATTTGAGTTTTCCATATTGATGAAATAATTGATTTGTCAGTATTTTGTTTTGTTTGTTTTCCGTTTTTCAGGCTGTGAAGAGCAGTACATGTTGCAATGATAAAACTTATTTATTTCTTCTGACCTTTGTATTTTTAACACCATTCAAAAATTATAAATACGTCAAGCTAAGTGTATTAGCATCAACTGAATTTAAGGTTTTAGTGCTAAACTAAATTTGAATGTAATTCTACACAAATGGATATGACAATTGTGATTTTTAAAGTAACTAATTTATTGGCCTCTTTGTGTCTTTTTATTTTGAAAAATAATACCTGTCCAACAACAAATCTTAAGTAATTTGTATATTATTTTAAGTAGCTTTAATGATACAAACAGAATACAATCCCACAGCAGTATGTAGTCAGATCCAAAAATTTACTTTAAGGAGGTAAATGCAAAGGCTGTGTAAATATGGATTTGTGTGACTTTCTGTAGCCTTGATAATTCAATGCAGAGTTTACTAGTGATATACAGTGAATGATAGATATGAGTGTATCTTTCTTTGAAATTTGTCCTTTAATTTTTTTGTGTTCTTGAAATGGCCACAAAATATTTGCACTGTTTTGAAATGTGTTTTTATCTGATTTTGTTGGATTGTAATTAAGTAACATTTAATTTGGATTAAACCTCTATGGAATGTGTAATAAATACCATATATGCAATGTATACAATACTAGTTCACTGTAAAATCAGACAATCCTAATGCACTCTATATGTAACACTCTTGAATTTGGTCTGAAAATATACAACAGAAATAGTTTAAGTGTTACAAAAATTATATTTTTGTTCTGATGTTTCCATCCCCAAACAAACTACAATTAATGTTAATTAATACTACTATTTTAATCATGGTTATACAGTTGTTGTGTATGTATTGTTTACTTTCACAGCTAGCTTTTTGAATTACAAAAAAGTGATAAATTTTTTCTGACAGTGTGATTAACCTGGGGCCAAGCAGGTAATTGTTAATTCCAGGATAATATCAGAAATATTGTTTTTAGAATCTTGATGGGACAATAAGACAAGGCACTAAATTCAAACTCACAGTTGGGTTTTTAACACAATAAAGTGGGCTTTTAATAGGGTAGAATATACAGATGACACATGGATTTAATCCTAGTAAACATCTTGCTTTTTTTCCTTTAATTAGATTTCTTTGTCTGATATTTCATAATATTACTACTCAAATGCTGAGGCTGAGAACTGCACACTAACAACTATGGTTAAATAATGTGTTAAAATTTGTGTTAAAAGTATCTTTTTAGTATTTGGGAGACAAGATAATCCAATTCTTTTAAATATATGCGTTAAATTTTTGGTTTTTTTAACCTGTACTAGAGCAGCAAAAAAAAAACATTTTGGTCTGTGCTTATGTAAATTCTGCAGTTTTGACAGTGTAATGAAGAGTGTAGTTTGTATTTTAATTTGAATGATTTGCTGCTTGCAGATCTATATTAGATTAAGAGTACTGAGATTAGGTTACCTCTGAAATGTTTTGTAACAAGACAAATAAATAGTTTTGTTTTTCCCTTAATGAGACTCATTTTGTGACTATTATACTATTATGTTTTTCATAAAAGAAGGTCTGGTGTCTCCAATTCTATGCAGTCTGTACTACTAGAGGGTCTGCAATATCAACAAACGAATTTACTCTACTCCAGGTCCTGAGCAAATTCAGCGTTTTCATACAGGTCGTTAACAAGTGACTAAGAGTAGCATTATTTCAATAAAAGACCATATACAAGCTTCCCCTTTTTACCTGAATCAAAAGATTATTAAGTTTGTGCATCTTTTGCAATGCAGTCAGATATCATAAATGAAACTCACAACAGGAAGTTAAATGAGATGTACTTCAGGCTATGTAGTCCAGATCACATCTTTTTTTTGTTTTCATTAGAATAGACTTTAAAACACAATACCTTCCAATATGGTGTGGGGGGGTGGGGGAGGGGGCAGTTGAGAAGGATCACGTTCAAGGCGAAAAACGGGGAAGCACTTATTTGATGACTACTGATAAAAACAAAGCAAACACTGAATTTTTTTCAATATGGGAAAACAGAGTGGGAGGACCAGGGAAAGGTTACCGTATACCAAAACAAGACATGCCATCTTCTACATAAATAAAATGCGTTTTATTCTACTGTATTATAAAAGTCACTGTCAACAGATCTCCCAAAGTCCATCCATTTTCCATACCTAGGTGTCCTGTCATGTCGTGGGGGTCTGGAGCTTATCCCAGAAGCAAGGATTAGCCCAGGATGCAGTATCAACCATTGCAGGGCAATGACAACATTTGCACATACATTCACACCTATGGGCAATTTGGTAAATCCAGTTCAACTTTTTGGACTGTTGGGGGGAAACCAAAGTACCCGGAGGAAACTCCACAGCGACACAGGGAGAAAAATATAGTGGTTTTTATTGGTCATAAAACTTGATTATTTGGTTAATTATACCTATTGGTTAAAATGGTCACAATATGTTGTTGCTTTGGCTTTATATTGGAGTGGTTTATTTGTACAGTCTTTTATTGTATATATTAGCAGAAAATGTGGACTTTGGTAGTTCTGGTAGTGCTAGCTAATGAAGATTCATTGCATTATCTTCCAGAAAGACAGTTGAAAAGGACACTAGCTGCAATATCACTCAGCAACTGGAGGAAGACGCTGTTATAATGTTCCAATCTTTATTTATGCCAGGAGTGACAGTTAAAGTAATTTTGATGTATCTGTCTGGGCAAAAGGAATTTCTAATCAGGATTTCACCCGTCACAGATGAGATGGATTAGTACAGTCAGTAAATCAGTTACAGAAGCATAATTTAGCACTGCCAGTTGACACATGCAATTTGTTTATTAAAGACTTAGAAAATGGGGAATTAATTAAGTCCTGATGTACTAAAACGATAATGAAGGACCTTAATAAGCAATTAGCCACAGTTTGTAGCTGGATAATGACTGTATGCATGGATTCTTTTTTGGTCGCTTTGTAAACAACCTGAAACATTTTTGAATGCTGCCTGTATGAGTTATGCATATTTTATACTTCCATTCATTTTTGTATTCGTAGTTTGTAGAAAATATTGTGGCATCAGGTGGGCAAAGCCAAATATGTAGACACAGACACACGCCGTATGCTTTGCTCTTCCTTTAACGGTGGCAGTGCAGTTTTTATAAAAACAGCAGATTTGCCATAATCTCCTTAGCCAGTGTGCTCTACCTTTACCCTACAATTCAAATTAAAAAAAAAAATAAAAATAATAATAATAAAAAAAACAAAAAAAACAAATTCAAATTCAAAATAACTTTACTTGTCCCCGACGGGCAAATTACACAGCTCCATGTTGAAGGACCATGCATTGCCTAATAGGGGGGTGATGATGTCACTGCTGAACAGGGCTAAGAGCTCCAGCACTGTAACAGTTATGTATAGATGGGTTTCTGATAACAAATTGAATATAATGTAAAGAAATTTATAGAATGGCAAGATTTCCTCACTGTTTGAAATCCCTGTTTCCAGTGTCAGAACTCGAATGCAAAAATTTCACAATTGTGCGTGCAAGTGGGATATTTACGCGACTAAATTGTAAAAATTTTACAGGTTTATACAGTATTTTCCATCTTGTGTTTTAGCGCCCCCCCTAGTTTTGACGTTGATGTGGCACCATACTATAGACCGCTGTGGGAGGAGACCATGAGGCAGGTCAGTCCTTATTCATCCGTCTTCCACCTGCTTATCTTGTACAGAGTGGCCTGGCGCCTTGTCCCCAGCAGCAAAGAGAACAAGGTAAGATGCCATTCGCACAATGTCACATATTTCAAAGCATCAGTTCATCTCAGTGGATACGATTGTAGGAGGGAACCACTGTACCTGGAGTAAACCTGCCCAACATGGAGAGAACATGCAAACTCCACACACGGTAAGCAAGGGTTAGGCCTCAAAACCCATACCCTGGAAGAGGGAAGGGACAGTGTTAGCCAGCGCACCACCATGGGTCCCACGATGAGCCCCTAGTTCCTACGACAATCAATAAATGCCGCTAATGAAGTCACAACCTTCCTGAAGCTCGTTTCACAAGCTCAAGCAGTACTGCTGTTTTCAGTATGATTGGTGTTAAAGGGCCCAATCACATCCGGGTCACTGAACACTTACATAGCAAGAACACAGAGTCACTGATTAATGATGGAATTTACCTGTGGTGCAGAATAACCCATAATCTCAACTCTTGCAAAACATGCTAAAATTTTAACAGAAAAAAAATCATATTCATAATAATTTATGATGTAGTATATATTAACATCCTATGTAAATACAGTGCTGTAAAAAGTCTTTGGCAGTCAACGAAAATGTTTAAAGCTATTTATCTGGGTAGTAAGTGTATTTTTTTGCTCAAAAAACAACACAATTTAACATTAAAATATACACAGATGAACAGTTACTGGTCTCTTGTAGGATTGCTAGAACTCCAATTCAGTTCCCAAACCTCATGGGCACCCCAACCATTCCCTGTATTTATTCAAATTCACCACCAGTTCAATTAATTAACTTAATTAATTAAATAACCTGATGAGGTGTTGATTAGCTGAACATAGTGTGATAGTGGTCAACAAATATATGGCTGTAAGGGATGCTTTCTGCAAGTACTGGGGTGACTTTAGGAGATGGTTTATAATGGCTTGCTAACACACTTTGATAGACATAATGTTACAGTTTTGCATCAACATGAATATCATTTCATCATAATTTTCACTGATTGCTATAAGAGTTTTGCACAGTACTATATATGCAAGTCTAAGGTTACATTAATAGGGTAAACCATGGGTTCAGGTGCATGGTTATGTCCAATGATGTCTGAAGATGACATGCCAAGACTCCACAAGGAAATAAAACGTATTTCCTAGAAGGACAATTTTGGCCAACTACAGGTTATTGAGCTGTATCTGAGCTTTGGAGTCTTTGCAGAAGTCCTACTGATTCCTTCACCTCCTGCTATAAATCGTCCATCTTTTTGGTGTCTTGGAATTCACCATGCAAACTCTGCATAAGGAGAATAACAGATTTAACCCCAAAAAATCTCCATTGTTTGTTAACTCTTCATTGCTACCATTCACATCATTGGAGACACACAAAGGCAAGTTAATATTTGTAATGTGAAATAGTAGCAAATGTCTTTACAGACAGATATAGACAAAAAAATATATAAATTTCTTTAAACCTAAATTCAACGATGTCTTCCATGGTATTTCCGATAGATCATTAATAAAGTTGTTTTACTGCAAAATGGTCCTGAAAACCATGAAAAAATACATCCTGAAGCACACAGATTGTTGCATTATTTTTTGTGCACTGGACTGTCGGGAGAAGAATGCATCTCAGATTCAGATACTTTATTGTCATCGTTGTTTCCACAGCTTATAATCCAGGCATAGAGGAGCTACATCTTCAGCTAGCCTTTATCATCAGCACTGATTTTAATTCACTCAAAACCATATATAGTTCATGCAGGCCTATGTCTGGTCATGAGCCAAAACGTAAATATATATGATCTGAAGCAACATCTGCATTAAAATTATTATAAGTAATGGATAAGTAGGTAAAGAAAATGGATGGAGGGGTGGTATAATTAGTCGTTGGAATGGAATACACAGATATTATTTCTGTACGCCTTAAACAAATAATTAAATTACATTAGTATAATTTAAAACTCTTATTCATAACCAGATATGAGGTGGGTTTCCGGTTTCAGAATAATGCAGAGCTATGAGGTTAAAAGGTGAATTAAAAACAATAATAGTAAATAACAGATTTTTAAAAAATGTCCCCATAATGAGCAGGAAAAATGATTGGAAGATAAATGCATTACTTACTGGGGTCTTCAAGCAAAGATATTTTAATGTGTTTATTTAATACATATTTTACATTATACAGACGCCATTCCAGGACAATGTCAGTACAACACCCCCTTTTGCAGCATAGGCCTTTGTGAAACACCTAACACGTCATCAGAATAAATAATGGAAAAATCAAAGAGCTCCTCTGCAGTGGAAGTAGTAATTAGCAAATAGTATAAAATATTAAAAATTAGTCTAACACACATTTTATGACCACATAGGCAAAAAGTGAATGAGCTCTAATGCCCCTAATAATAATAATAATAATAATCATCATCATCATCATTTCTGTAAAATGTGGGGCACTTCCATAAAGCCGAGCTAGGTAGATGGAGGATGGTCCTGCAGCCCAATCAGAGAAGAGCCTGCAATGATTGGATCGCGAATTCACTCCAAGGCACAAGTAGACAATGAAAGAGTCGATAGCAGCAACAAGTGAAGAAGCGAGAAAAATAAGCTGATTCCATGCACACTTCATCACGGTATGCTTTTCTGCTCTCAAAAGTTATTTTGACGTTATATTCTACGTATTAATATTGTGCTTAGTAAGTAGTCTTTTTTAGTTTCATTGATTTTCGCTATTAAATGAATAACAAAAAAGCACGATACGGGTTTATAATTTCAAAGGGAGACTTGCAGTGCAGTAAAGTTAATAGCAGTGTTCTCACTGAATCAGTTAAGGGCAAGTCATCGCGAAATATTTATGAACTTGCTGTCGGGAGTGAAATTAAATGTATGTTTAGTCTTTCGTTTCAACACTGCGATAACCTATAAGATGTCTTTCAGCAATCTCAAATCTTCACTCAACGAATTCAGAAGGTAGCAGAGTCGTGTAAGTACAAACACTCTTTCGTTGATCTATTATGTCATTTTCTACAAGTTGTACATCAGAACGTGTTCATTAGAAATTATGTTTTATATAATTAACTGAAAACGAAAATTCCTTATGAAGCTTATACCGGTTGAGGACTAATTGCGACGATGTACGGTGTTGCCAGGTTCACTTTTCACTGATCTAGAATTTTTTTCCACCTGTAGCATTCGATCATTTTTAATTTCATTGTTACATTGAGTGTACTGTGCGTATCTTAAATATAATTACAAACATTTTAACACTGAAACATTTTTGCGATGGCGGTACTAGGCACGTTTTCTACACTGCTAAGGGTTATTCACTATTGGTGTCAGTAATTTTAACCTCTTTTCTTGTTAAAATATTTAGAAAAACAGCAGTACAGTACTTATATTTGAACGTATATTATTGCTTGCCATTTAAAATATTTAAATATATCATTACTGCCCAGTGCCCAGCGTAGACAGCAAGGTAAATGTGATGTTCAGAGAATACCAAAGTAGGACGTGTGATTCTTGCCTCTTAAGTTAATCAGCCATGAAATGACACATTGAGATGCACGGGGGAGGCGGCCGTTTAGAGCAAACAGCGGGTTAGAAATGTGGTCAGTTCAGTCCACAAGAGGGGGGTATAATCACCTCCATTCATGCTTTCCTTTGAAGTAATAGAAAGAAAACTTATTATGTGAGGTATGGGTTCACCGACCCTTATTTTAAACAGAAAAATTATATATGTGTGTGTATGTATGTATATATATGTGCCGGATATATGTTGATATCCATGTACAGTACCAGTCTTGCTGGGTCTTTCAGCAATCACAGACAAATAGGACGCTTGTGAGTTGTTTTGCTTTGATCGTTCTCTTGTCCCAAGTTCCAGGGGATTGAGATCTGAAGAGTTTAGGTTTTCCATCACTTTCCTTCTGTACCAGGTAGTTCTGTCGGGGTGCATTTGGGTCATTATCTTGCTGCCGACTGGCCAGCCCGATCATGGTGGAATGGCATACTGTGATGGTACTTGTTGAGATTGCTGTGAATTTGTGACCAGACCCTTCTGTGCACCGCTTACGGTTGCATAGCTGTGTGGACATGCAGAAAAACAGGAAAAGGCAAAGAGAACATATGATGTTGAGTGTTCTGTCCGGAATTACTTTTCTTTAATCCCACTCTGTGTTGCTGCTCCAGAATAACAGGGCTACAGAAGCTGGCTGTAGTGAATTTGAGACCCATGGGAACTGCTATGCCCACAAGGCCCCTTGTTAGACCTGCCTCTTCCATAATCAGTGGATTCAATCTAATAATGGTGCTCTTGGCCACCTTGGTGTCAGCCTGTCCTAAGAGCTGCCATTGCACCGAGAAGAACGGCCTGACGTCTGTGCAGTGTGTGTCACGCAACCTGGACAGCATCCCCTCTGATCTTCCAGAGGACACTGTCGCCCTGCTCCTAGGCTCAAACCGCATCACCAAAATCCCCCGGCAGGCCTTCAAAGACCTGCATTGGCTGCAGGAATTGGACCTGTCCCGCAACGCCATTGAGGCTGTGGACGCCGGGGCCTTTCAGGGTATCTCCGAGGGCCTCCGGACATTAGACCTGTCCAACAACCGCATCCACACCGTGCCTAAGGAAGCCTTCTCACAAATACGGGCCAAGATCCGCCTGTCGAACAACCCCTGGCATTGCGAGTGCACTTTGCAGGAGGTGCTACGCGAGCTCCGACTGGATCCCGAAACGATTAATGACGTCAGCTGCCACACCGCCGTACAAGAGGAGTACGCTGGCCGGCCCATCATCCAGGTACTGGACTCAGGCATCAACTTCTGCAACTTCCACCACAAGACAACTGACGTCGCCATGTTCATCACTATGTTTGGCTGGTTCGCCATGGTAATAGCTTACATCATATATTATGTACGACATAACCAGGAGGATGCCAGGAGGCATCTGGAATACCTGAAATCTTTGCCCAGCACCACACAGATCAGAAAAGACTTTGACACTGTTAGTACTGTGCTCTAGTGTACCTGAATGTGTGGGATTGTTTGTTTGTAAAAGCATGTCTTTGCAGCAGAAGATCAGATGAGTCTGTGACACTTGGATGTCAACACAGCAGGGCTTTCGAACAGTCGCACGCACACACGGATTGTATATCAACTGGTACTTCCCTGCCAAACTCTGCTGCTACAGGTTTGCTGGGTATGTTTTTAATGAAATGTCCATCTTCAACTGATGTTTTTGCTTTGTAGTTGTTTTACTATTTAAGTTGCATTTACACAGCTATGGCATTATCTACCGTGGTGCTGTGATGCTGGAAAAGACCCCAATCAGCTCTTTCGGTTTTCATGGTTAGTGGGTAACATTGAATAGTATGAGGGGCGACTTTTACGGTAAAATCAGTTCATAGCAGTGTTCATAAATGAATGAGGGATGAATGATGAATGATGTCATGTAATGTATGATTTTATTGTAGATTATAAATGAGTAACATAACAGTAATTTGCTGTTTTTTTGCAATATAGCTACTACAGGGCCCATTTTATCAGTATTCACAGAAGTATTGCTGTGCGGTGGGGGAGGGGGAGCATGTTTACTTTGATAATTCCCAAGTGCCTGCCTTTTGAGGTCATTACATGGCTGCACTGTACACAATCTTAACTGGATACAATATTAAGCTGTATCTCTTTATTACATCTGGCTCCAGTTTTCACAAATGATTATACCCTACAGTTAATGGGGTGCCGTGTTTAATTTTAGTAATCTGTTCCATAATTGTGATCATAGTACTATCTCTGTTGGAACATACATAGTTACGATGTACTAATGTATGTCAATAGATTGCTATTTCAGTGTAATATTGACTATCAAGTTAACAAATGATATGTGGAATCTTAAATGTTTAGAAACAAACTTATGGTAATTGTACACATCTGTTTTCATTCAGTTTAAAGGGCTTAATCGTTCTATTATGTCATACACAATTTGTCCAATAAAAGTATTCATTGTTGTGTAATTATGTATGACATTGTTTTACTCTGCAGTGTTTGATGTGGGCTGTGCTATATCCTAAACAACCTTATAAAAACGTTTCTTTTATTTATTTTCTACCCATAGCATAAGATTAAAGATATATACAGTAGATTTCTTGTTTCCACCCACTGATTAGGAATGCTTGGGAGAGCCTCTTGTGATTTTGTCTCCTGCTTCTTTCTCTTGATTTCCATTGCTAGTGTTTTTTTCCCCTTCTCTCCATTGTGATGCTTTTCCTAGAGGCTTTTGTGTTCTCTCCATTTATTTGTTTATTTGTTTGTCGTGTACTTTATTCACTACTCCTGAACAGCCTACCAAACAACAGTAAACCTTGGAAAAAAAAGAAAAACTTTTCATTGTGTTTATCCTAAAAATCTATACATTATGAATATGTGCCAGACATCGATTGGTGGGCCTAAGGTACCATACCAACATACATTTCTGTTGTGCATCCATTAATCCATTTATTATATCATTTATTTGCTATGGTACCCTGTTAGCATATGATACAGCAGGAGTGAAACAAAAATGATATGTTGGTATATTGGTAGACTGGACAGATTTTTGTTTGCTATTGGCAGCTGGTGGAGGTTTTGGCTGTCTGTTACAATGCAACTCATTAATTACAATCATTAGTCATTATTTAGACTGGGCATAAAAACTGTAGACCAACTTTTTATATTTAGAAGTTTACTGAATATTCACCAGTTGCACCATTCAATTTCTGTACAATCGTTTGTACATTCAGGGCATTTGATTAGATTTTTTTTTTTTTGAATTATAATGTTGCCATGGTGGTAAATGTCAATTGACTGCCTTCCAGAAATCCTCGCTGCTACTCAAAGAACCTTTGCTCCATCAGAGTGCTCACAATAGGTCACTAACCATTCCTTGAACTAAGTGTCTTTTTTCAGTTGAAGGAAATTGTGTTCTTTAATCTTCTTTTCCCTGACATTTCCAGAGAACCTGAATTGTGACAGCAGGTAGCTTGTACTGTAGATACCCAATGTACAGCATAATGACAAATTCTGACTGTTGACTTTAAGTGGGCTGATATATTCTAATTAGCTGAGATAAGTGGCTAGCAGATACTGGAGTAGCTACCAGGTCCAATGATATATCATATACACTGTATATCACTGATATATGAACCCTACATATTACATAAACTAAATAACAAAACAGGCACCTTTCCTAATGTCCTTCAGTTCCACAATGTCTCGTTTTTCTTCAGCAACAAAGTTATCGACAGGCGACTCCGCCTACTGTGCAGATTGATTGCACTTTTGGGGGGAAGTGATTACTGGGGGTCAAAATGGAAATGACAGTACAGTGGTACCTCGGTTCTCGAACTTAATCCGTTCCGGACTCCGGATCGAATCCTAAAAAGTTCAAGTTCTGATTGAATTTTTATTTTTTTTTTTTTTTAGCATTTAAACACAAAATGAATAGGATAAAACAAGAAGAGCATTTTTTTCTTAATGGCTTCCAAAACGATAAAGATCTTATCCCAACATTACCCCTGTCCTGCCCCGATCGTCCGCTCCTTCCGTGTGCCACGCCCCCTCGTTAACCTCGTGTGGGATCCCCATGTGATCAGCTGTTTCTGGTTGTTGTCATTAGTCCTCTGTATTAAGTCCATGTTTCAGTTTGTTTCCCCAGTCCGGTCATTGGGTGCGTTCGACTTGCTTACAGCGCTGGCTTAAAGCAACGCATTCTGATACTGACGCAATGCATTACGGTTAGATGCATTGCGACCTCTCACACGGCTGCACAAACTGGAACCGCCTCCGTGACGACACACCTTTGCCCTTATTGGCTGAAGAGTTTAGTTACACGCATGACGTTTGTATCCCAGGCAGTTCCGATGTGTAATCTGCTATTTCTCACGAATATCACGTAAAGCAGTGAGAACTGGTTTTCAGTTAATTTACCTGGTAAAATAAAGTTTTAATAAATGACATAAATGCTCTAATAGTACACGTAAGTTAGTGGTTTATTTATTGTTAGTTACTTTAATGTTGCGCTGCTTTATTTGGTTAATCGTCCAATCTGTGAAGAAGGCATTCAAGTAAGAATTGCATTGTTATTGAAGTATGACTCATTTCCTGGTGTGTACAATTTATATTAGGTCAGCATTCACGGTTCGACTTCTGATATTCAGATCGAGTTCTAGGTCAAACTGGTTTGTTCGACTTTCAAGAAATTCAAGTTCTAGTGAGTTCGAGAACTGAGGTACAGTACCACTGTATTTTGTTTAGTCAGATATGTAAGTGGTTTACTTTAAACATTAAGCCATACCATGACTAGAGAGACTCTTGGCAATCTAGTATAACAGTGATGCCAGTTTTTCCTAACCCAGTCCTCGGGGGACCCCAGACAGTCCATGTTTTTGCTCCCTCCCAGCTCCCAGCCAATCAGGAACACCGAATACCTGGTACAGGTGAGAGGAAGCAAAAACGCGGACTGTCCGGAATTCCCCGAGGACTGGTTTGGGAAACACTGGCATAAGCTATGGTGTGAACTATTCACAGCCTGTGTGGTATCATTTTTGTTTACTCCTGCAAATGCAGAGGCAAAGCCATCACGTCCCCAGCGTGGCAGCAGTAGGCTGTGCTGTGCGCTCTGGCTGCTCCTGAAGGCAGTGGCGAAGTACCTCTGTGTACTGCCAGGCTAATCCAAAGTGCCACTTTGCACTGAAAGGGGCTCATTAGCTTTGAGTCTTTGACAGCATTATTTGGCTGATGCTACATCTGGAAGCTCCAGTAATACTGTAATTATTCAGCTGTAAATTAATTTAAGGAACTTAACCTAGTTATCCAAGGCAAACCATTATCTCCATACCTGCCTCCTATTTTGAATTTCTGATTTAATCTGGATTGTTTGAAAAGGCTGTAACTTTTTGCCTCTTTTGTTATGGCCACAGGTGTCTGGGGATGTCGTGATAGCTTTTACCTAAAAGGAATTTCTCTGGAAGTACTACTACAGATCCTGTACATGGGGGGGCAGGTTGGTGCAGTGGTTAGCTCAGTTGTTTTACACCTCTAGAAACCAGGGTTTGAATCATCACCCTTTCTCTATGTGTGGAGTTTGCATGTTCTCCCAGTGCCATGGTGTGGTTTCCTCCAGATTCCCCTAACAGGATAAAAACATGCTAAGGCGAACTGGAGTTACTAAACTGGCCATAGGTGATGTATTGGTGCCCCATCCTGGGTTATTCCTTGCCTTATGCCTGTAACATCCAGGATAGACCCTGAATGAATATATAACACACAACCAGACTACTTTTGTCCAAATTTTCAATGGCACGACTCTCATATTTGCAAAAAAGTAATAAGCATAATTTATATTTGTATTTTATTACTACATTTTAAAGCAGAGGCATGGGCTTCACATAAACTCTGAATCAAATGAAGACAGATCAGATTAAATATACTTGCTAAAATATGAAACATCATACAAAGATACAAAATATTAAAATCCCATTATTGAAACTCACATCCTTTGTAATTTGGCTCTTGGTCCAGATATCGGAATTGATTCCCTCTAGTTACTCCTTGTGTAAAAACTACAATTTCTGTTAACAGAAATGGGTTAGAATCCATTCCCATACCTTGTCACCCTGTACTTGATAAGTGGTTAGATTAGGCAATTATACAGGGAGCTTGTGACTGTGCATTTAAAAACTACAAATGGGATGATATTATGATGTACTCAACTCAAGGTTCTCAAATCCGGTGGATTTTTGCCTAAATAGAACCAGAATATTAAATGTGGACATTAATTAATGGTGGAAACATTGCATTGTCTGCATCATGCATTTGCATACATTTCTAATTACCTCAGGATCCATCGCTTTTAGCAGTAGAACTGGTTGATACATTATGCAGGATTTTTCTTTCATTACATCAGGTCACTGTGAGCTTTATCTGTTGAACTGTGAGTTGGTGCACATCTTGGTTGATCCACTCGCTGAGGTTGTAATCCTGCAAAACTGGTAACGGGGTTGAACTCTGGTGTAAATTGTGACACGTTTCTGCTTGTGGTAACCATGGAGAGAATGTTAAATCATATGTAACAAAAAATAAATATTCTACTGAACGTTTTTTGAGCTTTGTGGTAGTGGCAAGACCACAATTATCAAAGCAATGTTTCCTTGGTACACAGCTATTGATTCTTGCTGACACATTGTATGTTACAGTATTTTTCTTATTGTCAGCAGCCCGGATTTTGCTCTTCTAATGAGCATTTCCACAGATTTGTATCAAATTATGTTTCCCTGTTAGATGTTTTACCTAATAAATCATACATAAAATGGTAGCTATTCTTGACTCATGTTTATTTACTAATTGTCCAAAAAGAAGTGATAATGCAGACATATGTTTTATAGCATTGAGTAGTATGTTTACAATTATATTTTGCTTCAGTATTAGGTTTTATCAGCTTTGTTTAATTCGTTTAGTATCAACCTCATTAAGTTTCCAGAGCGACAAATAGGTTGTATTACTAACAAGTTTCCAGATCAATAATAAATGGATTGTAGTAGCGGGTTTCCAGGGAGAAGGTATGTGTTTTAATTGAATTTGAGGTTGTCTTCCTTTAAGCTGCTTTAATACTTGTATTTTTCTTCCAACCACCAAGGAGCTGTTTCAATTAATGATCCTTAAAACCTTTTCAAGGTCTGTGTCGACATTGTTTCAACAGAGTCTAACTTAATCTGCTAAAAAAATTTGCTATTTTCTTTATAATAATATTACATTGGGTATCTTTAATATTAATATTCGGCTTTTTGAATTCCAAAGCAAGACAATGAGCACAACTCATATTCTGATGCAGAGCAAATTGTGTTTTCATTAATGCTAATGGATGATGAGTAGGTTTTGAGTAGGTTGCAAAATCAGTGCATTTCTATACT